CTGCAGGTTACTTTAGATTACTTTGGAGAAAAGGTCTCACTGTGTAGGTCAGGGTGGTCTTCAACTCAAGATGTAGCCCAGACTAGCCTCAAACTCGCAAGGATCCTTCTGCCTCATCCTCCCGAGTGCTAGGATTAAAGGTGTACGCTGCATGCCCAGCCTAGGTCACTTCTATATATGAATTAAAAGAGTGAACTTCATTATCATCTACTTCTTGATTCCTTTTGTGTCATCGCTGAGGTAAAATACCTGACACTCAAAATTAAGGGAAGGTTTCTTTAGCTCACAGTGTGCAGAAGTCTCACTCCATAATCAGCTGGCTCCAAGGCCGGGTGGCTAGGCACAGGGGCAACACTTCAAGGTGGCAGAAGACAGCAAAAGCAAACAGGCAGTGGGGGCCAGGGACATAACTCAGTGGCATAAGGGTTTGCCTGGCAAGCACAAGGTCCCTAGTCCAATCTCTGATAACTAAAAAAACAAGCAAACAGGTGGGAGAGCAAGCCTTTTTTTCCTCCCTTATACTGTAAGCAGGCTACCTCCCCAACTCCAGGGCTGCACCCCGATTATCTCCAGGGCCCGAGTAGCACTCACACCATGTCCACTGCAGCCTCCTGCACAGGCTCAGGACTCTTACAAAGTAAGGACCCTGGGCCGCCTGCGGAGTCACTTAAACTTCTAGACTTCTCAAGTTGACACGCATATCATATTAAAAGCATCCTGTCTTAGTAACCAGCTATTCTCTTATTTTTTCCTGGTTTCTTTCCTTTTGATGAAATGGATCTTTAGCACGAGTGACCCCATTTTGATTTTTACTCTGATCTGCTGAGGCCTAAGGCAGGAGCTTAGTCCAAAACAATAATTCTCTATAATGTTTATCAGACATGCAAGTATAATTTCCATGTTTTGCATTTTCTACAAAACATGAAACTCAGGCTGGGAGATAGCTCTGAAGTCTAAGCGCCTGCCTGGCAAGCACAAGGACCCAGGTTCAATCCCAGGTACCACATGCCATGCTGGCCCTGGAAGGGCATGTCACACCAGCCACCAAAACTGGGCATGGTGGTACACACCTGTAATCCCAGCACTCGAAGGCTGAGGCAGAAAGATCATTGTGAGTTTGAGACCAGCCTGGGCTACAAAAGTGAGCTCAAGGCCAGAGCCTGAACTGTGTAGCGAGACATTGTCTCAAAAAGACAAAATAAATTAGTTAATTTTAAAGGTCAGCATATTTTAGGGGTGACAGTCCCTGAACTCCTTCATCCAGATGCTTTAAATGGTTACATTTTCCCTTTTAGGAAAGACAGTTGCTTTGTTACAATTTTCTGGTTCAGCTGCAAATGATGACTTTTAGACTTACCTCACCAAGCACCTGTCTTTGAAGTTGTGGGGAGAACTGAACTGACTGGTTTTAAACCCCGTAGTCTGGCACCCTGGAAAACTCAACCACGGTGAGGGTTATGGCTTAGTGAACAGGTGAGGACTACGCTACAGGTTTGATATAATATTCCTGATGACGGCCAGCACCTGCACCTATAAACGGTCATGGCTGGCCCCATGTAACTACCGATCTTTTTTTTCTTTTCTTGGTATTTAGTACAGAGTCTACAGGGTCTCACTACACAGATCAGACTCATAGTGATCCTCCTGTTTTTAGCCTCCCAAGTGCTGGGATTACAGGTGTGCATCACCATGCCCAGTCTTATTGAGCTTTTAAAAGTGCTAATGAGGGCCAGGAAAATAGCTCAGTGGAATATGTGCTTGTCTGGTAAGTGTAAGGTCCTGAGTTCAATCCCTGGTAATGAAAAAAAAAAAATTGCTAATGGTTTTTCTTTCTTGTTGCCCTCAATTCTCCTTGCCTGCTTACCAGTCAGCACCCTCTGCATGCCTCTTCACCATGCCACAAAAAATTGAGGAAATTAAGGATGTTAAGTACCATCTTGACATAGTGCTGTGGTCTCAGCCCTTAAGCAGCAGAGGCAGGAGGACCACTGGGAGTGTAAGGTCAGGCTGAGCTACACAGCAGACCCTATCTCAGGAAAAAATAAAGAACAAAGATAACATTAAAGTTCAGGACAGCAGCTGTCTTTATGATACAGGGGACCTCCAAATGACACAGGGAGAAAAACTGATCTCCCAACCTAAAAGTTACCTGGGATAAGTTCATGTTCTCTAAAACCAAAGAATGAATTTTAGGAACAAAACAGAGGTTATGAGCAGAATATATTTGAGGAAAAGAAAGCTCCTGTCCAAGAGAGGGAAAGGAGGGGGGCCCGAGTGGGTTTTCCCCAGGAAACTGTCTCTTCCAGGGACGTTGACAGAGGAACACCATGTGGTGAGGCGGGTCTAAGGTGGTGGAGAACATGGGAACTCGCTTAGGTGGGCATGAGGTGGGACAAAACTATGCTCAATCAATGAGATTACAAGCACCATGGCTCAGGTAAAATTGATTAAATCCAGTATCAAATGGGGAAGCAAGTCACGCAGCAAACAGGCATGAATATGGGACAGGGTCTCTTCCTGTTGGGGGTTAGGCTGTGACTCATTTAGGCTCTTTCAAGGTAACTAATACCTATTTAGGATATCAATCCCTGATGCCCAGCCCTAGGGAAGTATATAGCTGTTTTTCCTCTTTTCTCCTGTTCTTGAGATCTAGCCTATATGGAAGTGTCTGTCTTTTCCAAGTTGCCAAGTCACCTTGTCTTCCATCTTGTCTCCTTGAGGGCCTGGCCCTGACTGCCTATAATATTTCTATCTAATTCAGCTACCTACAACATTTACACCTTGGTCATGACAAGAAGGCAGAGAAAGCTGGGCATTGTGGTGCACCACTGTAATCCTGGCATTTCCAGAGGCTGAGGCAGGAAGATTGCTACAAATTCAAGACCAGCTTGAGCTACAAAGTGAGCTCAAGGCCAGCGCTTGAACTGTGTACCGAGATTCTGTCTGAAAAAGACAAAAAAAAAAGAGTAGAGAAATTGAAGCAGACCCTGCCCTCCCCCAAGGTTAAAATGAATGAGACTGTAGTATTAAAATCTTTTTTTTTTTTTTTTTGCAGAACCAGGGATTGAACTCAGGACGTTGTGCTTCCCAAGGAAGTGCTTATTCCACTGAGCCATCTTCCTGGCCCCCTAAAAATCTTTAAAAGAAAAAAAAAGTGGCCCAGTATGGTGGTCAATGCCTGTAATCCCACTACTCTGGAGACTGAGGCAGGGTGATCCCTGAGAATTTGAGGCTGGCCTGATCTCCATATGGAGACCTCATCGCAAAAAAAAGAAAATTGCTAGCACTATACATGAACTAAATGTTTCATCATAAGTTTTAAATTAAAGAACAGAATGAAGCCAGGCACGGTGACACCCCTGTAATTCCAGCACTGTGGGAGGCTGAGGCAGAAAGATCGCAAGTCTGTGCCCAGCCTCAGCAATTTAGGGAGAAGGGAGAGCCTGTCTTAAAATAAAAACTAAAAAGGTCATGAAATGTAGTTGAGTGGAAAGATCAATCCCTCAGATTGCAAAATATAACAAAAAAATAAAGTGGAAAGAAAATTATCAAGCAGAATAACGAGTATGAAAGTCTACTTTCTCCACTGTAAAGTGAATAAATCTAAATACTGTCTGGATACTTTTGATGAAATATTCTAACAAATTCACTCTAAGGTTAACATTTTGAAGATAGTATGGAAAATAAGGGCCATAATATATCTCAAAAATTGGAGCCAGACATGGTGTCGGAGACCTGTAATCCCCGCAAGTGGGAAGCTGAGGCAGGAGGATCACTGTGAATTTGAGGCTAGCACAGACTACACAGTGAGTCCGAGGCCAGCCTGGGCTAGGTAGCAAAAGACCCCCATCTCAGAATCTCCAAATAATAATAAGTTAATTGACTGCTGAAATATTAAGGTATCACGTTACTGAAGTATCACTTTGTAGCTTAAGTTTTTTTTGTCTGAGACAAGGTCTCACTACAGTATAGGATGGCCTTGTAACGCAGCTCAGGCTGGCCTCAAGTTTGTGATCCTCCTGCCTCGACCTCCAAAAAGCTGGAATTACAGGCAGTCTCTATTTCCAAGAGGCTACTACAAAATTGAACCCTACACAGGAGCAAATAGTAAAGGTCCCCTAATGGTGGCTACTGTTTGCATGAAAGTGCCAGTCTTTTGGGGGAAATTCAGTGCTTGTTTCGGGGGTTGTTTTGTTTTTTGGCACTGGGAATCGAACTCAGAACCTCATGCATGTCAGGCAGGTGCTGCACTACCTAAATCACCAGCCCTTGTTCGTCTTTTTGAAACTAGGTCTTTCTACGTTCAGGCTGACCTAGAATCACTACAATTCTCCTGCCTCAGCCTCTCCAGTGCTTGGATTATAAGCGTGCATCAACATACCCCGCAACAGGTTCCTTTTGTACTGGGAATTGCACTCGGGACCTTGCGCTTGCCAGGCAGGCGCTTGTGCCACTGAGCTATATGGTCGGCCCAAGCACAGTATTATCTAGCGCTGGGAATTATCGCTCTTGATCCCACGGTCCCGTCCTTTCTCAAGCCCCTCCAGTTTCTTTTGCAATATAGAGGTCTAGAAAAATCTCAATTCTACCAAGGGGTAGGGAAATGAGGGCGACAGCGGCGTAGCAAGGTGGAGTTCTAGAACTGTCACTTGGGGGTCGGTTCCACAAAGCCGCACCGCGGCTGCTTCCGGATCGGTCCGCCAGCGCGAGCCCGCGGCACGCACAGGCCCTGCTCGCCCGCCGCCCTAACCCACGGCCCTCCCGCGGCGTCTCAGCTCCACCCCGAAGAAGCTCCGGGGAGGTCGCGAAGCACGACCCACACGCGGGCGGCAGGCAGGACACACTCTGGGGGCTCCGAGGAGGGTGGGTGGGCGCCCGCGGAGCAGGAGCAGCGGCGGCCGAGACCGCAGGGACAAGCGCCAGCGAGGCGGCAGGCGGGCTCCACGCCCCTCCGAGCCCGGAGCGGGGCTGATGACGAACACAGAGCGCGACGGACGCACACAACGCCCCGCGCTCGCACGACGCTGCGTGCAGGGAAGCGCGGGGAGTCCCGGGCCGTCACCGGCGCGACTACCGTCCCGCCTCCTCCGTTGTCGGCGCTCCCGCCACCTCGGCAGTTCCGCGCCCGCCTCCGACAGAGCCCTCCGCCGCAGCGAGGCTGCCGGCCTTGCTCCTGTCTCTTTAAATGGTGGGGCCGCCCGGTCGCCCCTGCAATTGCTGCCTGGGTAGCCCCGCGCGCCCCTTTTGAGGGGTGAGCCAAGATGGCGGCCGCTTTAGCTCAGTGAGGAAGACGGAAGAGGCGGCGGCAGCTGAGAGAAAGCGACTTCCAGCAACCTGGCCCTCTTCCGTGGCCGAGGGCGTTCGGAATCTCCCAGACAGTGGTAGCAGTCGTCCCAGAAGCAGGCGCCCGCCGGCTTTGGACATTTGAAGCAAAGGAGCGGAGCGGAGCGACTGGCTGCGGCGGCAGGGCAGGGTACAAGGAAGGAAAACATGGCGGCGGCGCCTTGACGAGGCTGCGGCGGCGCGGGAAGCTGCTTGGCGGGGATCATGGCGGAGGCGGGAGCAAGACAGTGACGGGGCCCCGCGTTCCTATCGCGGCGGGGCAGGAGGGTGCGCGGCGCTGCACGCCCCCTTCGGGGCCGCCGGGCGGCCGGGCCCGGACAATAGCGCAGCGGAGCCGGAGCAAGCGAAGGCAGCAGCGCGGAGCGCGGCCCGGGAGGAGCCATGCGGGCGGCGGCGTGGCCCCGCGGCGGCCAGTGGCGGCAGTGAGGTCGCTGGGCCCTCCGCTTGTGGGCGCCTGCCTCACTCGGACCCCGTTTCTGGGCGACTCCAGCGGGGCCTCCGCCCCGGCCTCCGGGCGGCACGATGACCGACACCCGGCGGCGGGTAAAGGTGTACACGCTCAACGAGGACCGGCAGTGGGACGATCGGGGCACGGGGCATGTGTCGTCCGGCTACGTGGAGCGCCTGAAGGGCATGTCCCTGCTTGTCAGGGCCGAGAGCGACGGTAAGTGCAGCGCCGCCCTGGGCCACCTCCCTGGTTCTCGCGGGGCAGAGGCGCTCGCCTCGCGTGTGCGGGCTAGGGGTTGCGGGCTGGAGGAGGGCGGGTCCCGGGGGCCTCGAGCCTGCGAGTGCCTCGCGAGCGCGCGAGGGGTTTCTCGGCTCAGGCTGCCTGGGCACGTTTAAGCTTCGAGTACTCCTTTGAGCTGTGCTGCCCTGACGCGTGCAGAGGTCGGGGGCCGGGGATCGGGCGCCCGGGTGTGTGGTTCTGCACCAGAGTGACCTTGAGAAAAGCACGGGTGAATGCGATCTGCCTTAGTTCACCCATCTGTAAAGCAGGTGTGCAACCATGATTCAAGCCAAGAAGTTCTAAGCTGTTGCACACTTTGAGAAACATTTTGGTGGGTTTTTTGTGTTTTGTTTTGTTTTGTTTTGTTGTGTTTTTTAACTGTTTGGCTTTATATTTCTGATCCTGTTGTCGGCTGGCAACACTGTTTCTTGGGTATAGCAACTTCACAGTGGATAATGTTGATCTTCCTTTTGAGGATAGAATTGTTTTCCCCGCCGCGGTTGTGTTTTAGGAACGCAGGATTTTGTGTTTCACTGCGTAAACAGCCTGCACGTTTGGGATTATTTGATCTTGAGCGTTTGCTTGCTTAAATGTCTTCGCAATTTGATTTGTTTAACAGGTGGAGAGAAGTTAACAGATGTGTTTAAAACCTTTTTGATCTGTCCTGGTGTCTGCATGAGTTACGGTTTTTTGTTTATGTCTTAATACGGGTTTGAACCCAGGAAACGCTGAGTTTCACTGCCAGGCCTCTCCTGAAGCAGGGCTTTACTAACTTGCTGTGTGCCTTGAACACTCACTAATGAGTGGCAGAGATTACAGGCCTGTGCTACTTTGTCGGTCTCCCACAGGTTATATTTACAAGTCCAAAGATCAACTTGTTTGAAAACAATGAGATTTCCCTTTTTCTTTTCCTTTTTTTTTTTTTTTTTTTTTTTTTTTTTTTGGCAGGGGTAGTGGGTCTTGTGTGTGCTGTAGCCCAAGGTGGCCTTGAACTCATGATTCTGCTGCTTCGGCCTTCCCAGTCTTGGGATTACAAGAGTGTGCCAGCACCTGGCAGTTTCACATTTTAAAAGACTAGGGTTGGTGTACTGTGAATTTCACTTAAAACTTTCAAGCTTGATAAAACTCTTCAAATTATTTCTCTGGATACAAAAGTAGTTATTTGCCACCTATCTTGTTACATTAGCCTCTGATTTTACAATAAGCAGCTATGTCAGATCATTATGATTGTAGTTCTGTATCTGAATTACAAACTTAAAGGAATTTTTTTTCCTGTTGAACTTTGTCCAGAACTCCAGTTTCATAAAAACAAGATTGTAATTACAAATTGTATATACTGCTGTTGATTTGAATTAAAGAAGTAGTAATTTGGAGAGTACAATTACCAACAGGTTTCTTCAGTTTTTGGTTTGGTTTGGTTTATTGCGTGGTACTGAGCATGGAAACCAGGGGAAACTGAGCATGGAAACTGAGCATTGTAACCATTCTGTTACAATGCTCTCCCTTTTAATTTTTGAAAAGGTCTCACTAAATTATGAGGAAGGCCTCAAACTTGGGTCTTACACTTCTGAGTACTGGAATTATAGGCATATGCATGTCCAGCTCCTACAGATTTTATTTTCAGGCTACCCAAAATGATTTCAAATTGGAGCAGAGGGCTGGTGAGATGGCTCAGTGGTCTAAAGCACCTACTTAGAACAAGCTTAGCCAAAGCACAGGGACCCCGGTTCAATCCCCCAGCACCACATGCCAGCCAGCCCCTCCCCCTGGTGGGCTGAGCTGGTCACACACACGTAAATAAATAAAATTAAAAAAAAAAAAAATTGGAGCAGAGAGTGGTGGCACACATCTGTGATCCCAGCATTCAAGAGGCTGAGGCAGGAGTTACTGCAGGTTCCAGGGCAATCTGGGCTACATAGTGAGTTCAAAACCAGCCTGAAGCTGGGCGTGATGGTGCATGCCTTTAATCCTAGCAATCCAGAGGCTGAAGCAGGGAGGATCTTCAGAGTTCGAGAACAGCCTGAGTTATAAAGAGAGGCCAGCCTGAACTGCATAGCAAGACCCTGTCTCAAAAAGACCAAAAAAAAAAAAAAAAAAACCTGCACTACATAGAGAGGCTCTGTCTCAAAAAAAATTTTTTTCTTAAGACCAAATTAGTACTTATGTCACTTATTTAAAATACAAGCAGAATGTCAGATACTGTACTGATTGTGTGCAGCTATTGCATAGTAACTTACACCTACATCATTGTACATTGAAGAAACTTTTCACATAATGAATTAGGAAGGATAGGTTTTTATGTTTCTTGTTTTGATTGAGTAGGGGTAGCTGAAATTCAAACCCAGGGCCTTGGGATTCTAGGCAAGTCCTACCACTGAGTTAGGATCCCAGCTGCCAGTTAGCTTTTTGTGAGATAAAAGTGTGTGTAGATTTTTCCATCTATTCTTTGAGATTTCATTACAAATAATACACACGGCCTTATATTTAGTATACATGCTGCCAAAGCGAGCAAATACGGCCTTGACATTGTGTTTGAGTTTCCATTTTGGGGGGATATTTTTAACACAGGAGTGCATGCCTTTGGGTGTCCTGTAGCCTGAGGGTGTCTTTAAACTCAAAATCGTGAGCCACCACCATCCCTAGCTTCCCCTTGGTTTGTAAGCATACTCCCAGCATGCTAATATAAAAATCTAGTGTGTCTTTTTCACGTTTATATTTTTACCACTTAGGAAATAGCCTTTCTTCTTCAGTCTGAAAGTTTGGGAAGGGCAGAAGAAGGCTGCGCAACATAGCTAAGAAGTAAAGTGGATTCAAGTTATTTAAGTAGGAAAGAGTGCTGGGCTAAATCATGATCTGGCTGTGGCACAAAGTTGTAAAGAAACATCATTCCAAAGAATGGTCTTAGAAAAATTCCAGGATACATGTGAAGTAATCTTCAGTCTGATGCTCAACATTTTTTCCTAAAAGGAAAATTCCAAATTCTATGTGCCAGAAACTCTGTAAGTAGTTTACTTACAAAGATTTACTTAATTCTCAAACAGTTCTCTGGTGGCAGTGCTGTGATTAGCTATATTTTACAGATTGGAAAACAGGCTTAGAGATGGTAAGTAACTTAACACCTGTAGGCGTAGGCCATCAGTGTTCAGTTTAGGGGTGGTGATTTTTGTTTGTGTGTTACATCTAGCCTACAGCCTGGACCTACTACCAGTATCTGCAGCAGATTTAAACTCCCATATCAAAGCCAGGCCTGATGGTACACATCTGTAGTCTCAGCTCTGGAGGCTGTAGCAGGGTATAGCAGCCCTGGGCTGAGTAAATGAGACTTACGTTGCCATCCACTTACATTTGCTGCTTTATTCTTGGCCTCAAGATTTATTTCAGAGAAAATGAAGACAGATTTTAGCCCAGTAATACTTAAAATTATAGTTTATCACAAAGTTACAGGTGAAAGTTATTGCATTGTTAGTTTGGGTTGCCTTTTGTGTTTGTTTCTTTATCATAGGATAATTGAGTTGGGAGTTTTGTGTGTGTGTGTGTTGAACAAAATGTGAAATGTTTGATTTTTTTCCATAAAGTGAGTCATTTATCTAATAGAAAGTTAAAAGTTACTGAGTTTCCCTACTCGACCTAGACCTAATTTTACTCCAGGTTTTTTCCCACAATTCCTTAGGTTTACTTGGCACTGGAGATTGAGCCTGGATCCTTCACACTGAGCTACATAAACACTTTTTAAATTATATTTTTTATTTTTGAGCAAGGATCTAAGTTGCCCACCTGAACTTGAATTTAAAATCTTCCTGCCTCAGCTTTGCAGTGTTGGGATTACAGGTATATACAACCAAAAACAGAATTTTTTTGGTTTGCAAAATAAACTTTTGTGACATGGTAATTTCCTTAAAATGGACAATTTTCCAATTGAGCTAATTTAGAAAGAAATTGTTCAGTGCTAGTGATAGGAGCTTTTGTGTATAGACGGTGGCAACCTTCTGTTTTTGTAGGGATTTTAGTTTTTGGTATGTCAGTAATCCAGGATGGTCTTTCAATCTTCTGCTTCAGTCTCCCCATTACAAGTGTATGCCACCGTGTGCAATTTTCTTGTTTTGTTTTGATTGTTTAGTAGGTACCCTTAGAAATGTAGGTTTAGGGCCGGCCAGATAGCTTAGTGGACTGAAGTGCCTGCTTAAGCAGGCCCAGGAATCAGGGTTCAATCCCCAGTGTGCTGTGCTGGCCCTGCCCCTGGGACATACTTAGTGAGTGAGACCAGGCATGGTGGCTCACGCCTGTAATTCCAGCACTTGGGAGGCTGAAAATAGGAGGATTATGAGTCTCGATTGTGTAGTGAGATCCTGGAGAACCTGTAAAACATTTTTAAAAAACAGAAAGAAATGTAGGCTTATTTGTCCAAAGCCATTCATTGGTTAAAATGGTATATAACCTGGGATACAATTCAGACCTTTCTTTCAAATTGAAAACATTTTTCTTCTCCATACACTGCTTAGTGATTGTAAATTGTTTGAGAACAAAAGTCTACGGTTTCGGCTGTTGCATAGCAAGGGTAGCTGGTTTTAATTTTCTCATTATTGAGTCTGAGTTAGGCAGTTTATAATGCCATTGAAACTGTAGGCTTAGCTTTTATTGGAAGGCTGTATGCTTCTGTAAGATCCAAGAAGGCAAATTATTTTCTTGGGGGGGGTTAGTACTGGAAATTGAACCCAGGGCCTTCATGCCGAGCTGCACTCAACGTTTTTCATTTTTTGAGACAGGATCTCTGTAAGTGACTAAATTGCTCAAGATGGTCTTGAATTTGTTAATCCTCCTGTTTTGCACTGCATTTGGTTACCTTAAATTTTATAAAGTAGTTTTTACATTTCAAAATAGCCTTTTTCTTTGCTCTACTAGGATTGAGCTCAGGGCCTTGTCTATGTCAGCAGACTACC